GCAGAAAGCACCACTGATTTAAAGATTCAGTGCTATGGGGAACAGCCACGCTCCAATTCTTCCGTGGAAGGAGCTGATCTAAGAATAAACCTGAAGTTCACAGAAAGGCCAACAAGCACTGTCCAGGTTCATCTTTTTAAATTCAGCTGCAGCAGCTTTGTCACATCTCAAGGCTGTGATTGTCCAAAAGCTTTCCATCTGAAAAAAAGGATGAATATTAGTCATATGAAATCTTTAAGCTATAGGATCTTTCTTAGTTTCTAAATGAACCTTTTCCAGTTTAAGTAATTTGCAGGGGACAGGGGCATGGATTGTCATCTTTTCCATTTTTTTCTTCAGAAGGAATTGCTCTTTTTTTCCTTTAGAAAGAAATGAGTAGACAGAACAAATACAGAAGACCCCAAATATTGAAATCAGTAGTTTTAAATTACATAGAGTCCAACTTCTTAAGATATAATTCTACCTGTATTGCTGAAAATAGAGCTGAGAAATCTTTAGTTCTTGGCTTTTTTTTTCCATTTTTTGTAAGCACTGTTATCATTTCCCCTATTGTGAAGTGTCTATTATGCAATCCTGTTGGGAATAGCTTTTCCTTCACGAGCAGCTCATCATGCTGTCAGCACAGAGCTCCCTGGAGACTACACCAAAACTGCGAAGCAGAGCATGGGGAGAAAAAAAGGCCCATTTCCCCCAAGGAAGGTGAGTGGAGGAAAGAACCGGATCTATCTTCTCAAGGAGAAGTAGACAGAATGTAAAATCACAGTGTGAAGAACTTGACTGTTCATCCATAACAACCTCTCCTGTGTGTGTGTGTGAGTGTGAACGTGTGTGAGTGTGTGTGTGTATGTTTGTCACTCAGTCTTGTCTGACTCTGTGCAACCCCATGGAGTATAGACTCCTCTGCCCATGGGATTCTGTGAACCATCTGTGGGTCATTCTCGGGCACTCAATGAATGCTGACTCTGACCCAGAACTTGTCTTGCACCAGCTAATGCAGCTTACAGCAAAGGTAACATTAGGTTAAAACCAGGTTGACAGATTTCCCGTGGTGTAACAGCAATGATCTATTCATAGTTACTGGCTAGAGAGTTGTGTTGAGAAGGATTTAGGGATTATATCCCAGCTTAGTGGGAAAGAACACTGTGATCAGTTATCAATTAATGATGTCTGCTATGGTCACAAAGTTGGACATGTCAGTATTTGGCCTATGTTATAGGTTAACTGACCCTGAGTTAAATGTTTACATTTAATTAGTCAACAAACATTTATTATTACTCATGCACTGTGTGCATGGCCCTTTGTTAAATACACAGTTGATGCAAAGATGAAAAAGACATAATTACTAAGAAAGATCCAAATCCAGTCAGGAAATAGACCATTTTAACACAAATGATAATTATATCAACAGAGATGAACAAAAGGTATCAAAAGAACATAACAGAACAAAACATCAATAGAATTTTATAGATATATTGAGATGGGGTCATGAATGATTGAGATCACAAAGTTCCTACAAAGAAAAGAAAGAATTAGAGCAGAAACCACCCACTTTATAAACTCTCCTGGGCTTCCCCAGTGGCTCAGCTGTAAAGAATCTGCCTGCAATGCAAGAGACACAGGTTTGATTCCGAGTGAGGAAGATCCCCTGTAGGAGGGCATGGCAACCCACTCCATTATTCTTACCTGGAGAATCCCATGGACAGAGGAGCCTGGTGGGCTACATTCCATGGGGTTGCAAAGAGTTGAACACGGCTGAAGCAACTTAGTGCACACACACACACACATGGAGAGGAGACAGAAAGGCTGTAGCAAGAAGACATAACATTGAAGCAGGAGATTAAAAAATAAAAAACGGATAAGGATATGAGATGAGGCCTGAGATGAATACACAAATCCACGCTGATGCGCCATGAATTTGACCCTTAGCTTTTTTCTCCTAGAAAAGAGAAACCTGACAAATTGATAAGGCTATGTTAAGATAGATTCTCAGAGTAAAGGGAAGGAGCTCTGATGTGGGCTTGTATGAGAAGGGAATGGGGTAGTGGAGGAGGACCAGGGCAGAGGACAGCAGGATAAGACAAACTGTGACTCCTGTGTCCGTGGAAACTTCCAGAAAGAGACCACCAGCAGCCTGATTAGACCAGTCTTAACTGACCTGTTGTGGCAGTTGGGTGACTTTTTGGATCTGAGACATCTGAGGGAAAAACCCCACAACAGTCTTTGTTTGACCACCTTAAGTTTTTATTTTGCCAAACAGTTTATGGAATATTTTACCCACGTGCTCTTGTTACTTAACTTTTCATGTGAACTAGCCAATTTTACAAAACATTCTCAGACCTGTTTTTTTTTGGGGGGGGGGGTGGAGGGATGTTGTGGGGACTGGGTGGGGAGCCTTATAGTGAGTTTCATATGACTTCCAATAAGTTTTCTGAATTTTTAAAGGGTGGAGTATGCAGTGTAGCTTATTTGAAAAGGCATTATTTCAGAATCAGAAGAAGCTGTTATAAAAGGCAGCCTTATTCCCTCACAGTAGTGTAGCCTAATTCAGCGCTTCTCAAGCTTTTTGACCATGACCCAGAATATGAAATACATTTGCATCACGACCCTGTACATACATACTGATCTGTTACTGAAAAAGCAATCCTGAAACAGCACTTTTAAAATTTTTTTATTTTCTATTCCACTTAATGAAAAATCACTGGTCAAAGACTCACTAAGTTGATTTCCTGACCTACTAGTAGGCCTCAACCTACAGCTGAGGTTTCAGGGAGGACCTCCTGTTTTCTCATCTAAGCTCTTATGCTCCTTAAAGCGTTGATGAGGCTAACACTTCTATGACAAGCCAGCACACAACAAGCTTGCTGAGGCTATGACACTCAGACCCAAGGGACTGGGCAGGCTGTTCCCCTGAGGTTCTGCTCCCAGGTGGGGTTCTGCAATGTTGTTCAGCTCCTCCACTCCTGGGTTCATTCTTCAGTCTCTTCTGATACCAGAAGGATTTTTTTTTTAATCCTTTATCAGTATTTTTAAAATTGAAGTATATAGTTGACTTGACTTCCCAGGTGCCATTAGTGGTAAAGAACCTGTCTGCCAACCCAGATATAAGAGACATGATTTCAATTCCTGGGTTGGGAAGATCCCCTGGAGGAGGAAATGGCAACCCACTCCAGTATTCTTGCCTGGAGAACCCCATGGACAGAGGAGTCTGGCGGACTACAGTTGCGAAGAGTTGGAGACAACTGAAGCAACCTAGCACACATGCATAGTTGATTTACAATATTATTAATTTCTGCTCTATGAAAATTCTTTTTAAAATATTCTTTTCCATTAGAGTTTATCATAGGATACTGAATAGTCTTCTGTGCTACACAGTAGGACCTTGTTATCCATCCTATATACGAAAGCTTACATCTGCTAACCCCAACCTCCCACTCCATCCCTCCTTCACCCACTTGGCAACCACCAGTCTGTTCCCTATATCTGAATCTGTTTCTGTTTCATAGGTGGGTTCACAGGAGAATCTTCTGAGCTTGGTCACTTCTGTTCCCTCACTGCCTCATCTCCTGGAACCAAATCTCCTATGCCTTGAGTATTCACAGACAGGATGTCCAGGGCAGAGTAGGGCAGTGGGCAAAGCCCTGATTTGGTGTGTAAAAGATTTGGTGTAAGCAAAGAGGGTATCTTTGCTTACCTTTGTGCAGGTGAGTTTACACATGCATACATGCTCAGTCGCTTCAGTCGTGTCAGATTCTTTGCTGACTCCATGGACTTGGCCAGCTAGGCTACTCTGTCCATGGGATTTTCCAGGCAAGAATNTTGGCCAGCTAGGCTACTCTGCCCATGGGATTTTCCAGGCAAGAATACTGGAGTGGGTTGCCATGCCCTCCTCCAGGGGATCTTTCCCACCCAGTGATCAAACCCTTTCTCTTTTGTCTCCTGCATTGGCAGGCAAGTTCTTTATCACTAGCACCACTTCGGAAGCCCTTGTGTCTCCATAAGCCACCTTAAATCATTTTTGGAACACGACAGAAACAGAAGTAAAAATTTTAAACTTATAAATAGAGGTAGTTTCACGTCCCAGGTTTTCAAAGTGAAGGACATCTTTCTCCCTGTGCAGGGACAAGCTTCCAACCCAGAAAATTACTGAGTCATCTTGGCCACCTGCACTTCTGAGTCCACTCGGAGCCTCTTCTTCTCTGACAACTTTGCATCTTTTTTCCTCTGGACCCAGAAACAAGTATGTCCAAGAATCCTCCAAGAATTCAACAGACACTCTTTCCTGGTCAGAGAGCCAAGGCTCACCCGACTGAGTTCAAAACAACCTTGACCTTGGGTTTTGTTTTTGCAGATTAAAAAAAAAAAAAAAAAAATGGGCCTTCAAAAGCACACGAGTTAAATTCCTTCGTCATACTGATAGTATTTTTGTCCTCAGCTTTGAGTCAGAGGATGCTTGCTAAAGGAAGAAGGAAATCTATTACACAGGCTCCCGGGAGTCAAGTCCCTCGGAGTCTGTAATTGCAGACTCGCGGTCCTCAGGGGGGTAAATGGGGCAGTAGCACTAAAACTGTGGTGACACCGTGTTATGTTCTTAAGATTTTTACTTCTGTCAGTCAGCACTACAGCCTAGGAATCTTCTTGCAACAAAAAGCAAGAAGTTCCCAATTCCTCCTACGGATGCTCAGCGTCCCAACTTGGGTGTAGCAGCTTCCTATTAGCAGACGCTCCGGTAGTTTCTATCACAAGAGCTGCTGAAGAACGGATGCAGGCAGATCTTCAGGGCACACTGTCGGAGCGGGGATGTGGGGTCCAACTGCTACCTGCCTTCATGAGTCCTTTCCCAGCAAGGGTCCTCCCACATCCAGCAGCTCACACCAATAGGAGCTTCCACAAGTAAGGTCTGGAGCGAGACTGCTTACAAGGAGCTCATGGCCGAGAGAGGGCTGAGTTCTCGCGGGATCCCAGGGGCAGCGCAGGCGCAGTTGCTGCTCCTGCACCGGATCAAGGCACTGAGTGCAGCGTTTCTGCACACGGCTCGCCCACGCCATCTTGAACAGAGTGTTGGGGGCGAAGCTTTTGCCGTCGTCGCCACCGTTTTGCACCATGCATCCTGTTGGGAAGAGCTGGAGGGAGGCCTCTGTACCCGGTGCCCTGGGAACCAGTGAACTAGACTCAGCGCAGAGAAAACAAGGTCAGACAATCCTTTTTTATCACCTAGGTTCTATTTTTATTCCCTGGGAATTATAAATGGGCTTTGCTGGTGACAAACCCCTTCTCTGCCCTGTGTCTCCTCACTGTGTGGATGGGAGAGGACGCCGAGGGCCCGAGTCCTTTTCGGTGAGTGCTTCCTGCTGAGCAAGAGTGGCTGGTAACCTTGGGTGGAGGAGGGGAACTTCCCTTCAGGTATGTTTGGTTGCCCACAGCCCTCGGCCTTGAGCATACTCATCCCTGGACGACCCCCATTTGTGTAACCTTTGGGGGACAAAGGAACTCAGACAGTTTAAGCTCCCTGGCCCCTATATGGACAAGAGAATAATGCTCACATGTCGCATTTTTCCTGAAGATGCAGGTCTCTAGGCCTTTGACCCTGATACAATGCTTGCTGTAGGGCCTGTCTCCCTGGCCACACTTGGGTGGTTTCTCATAAGAGAAGCTTCGGGTCAGAGGGTCACAACAGTGGTCCAGGGCTCTGTTACCCTAAGTCGTGTCTCTGGAGTTTGGGGCAGAATATTACATCTTGCTGGGTGACAGAGTGCCCAGCAATGTGTAGGGATTAGGGACCACCTACGTGTATACTCTGTGGCTCCACTGACTGCCCTGATGTCCTGAACTATCCAGTATTCCCTGTCGGGTTTCCTTATGGAGAGAATGGGGTGTTACAAGCTGATTGGCATGTTCTAGTAGGGCTTTGGTCATTTAGGGTCTGTATCACAGGGGAAATGCTCAAGAGGGCCTCCTGGCAGAGAGCACTGCTTTCTATTGGGCTGTGTATGTCCAGGTTTTAGATGAACTATTGCAAGACTGGCTCCTTTAACTGGTCCTCCCTGTGCTAGGGCCCATACTTCAGGATTCACTCCAGGGAGATGGACTTGCTCTGTTTGGGGAGGTTTGTCCTCAGTCATTAACATTATCATCTCCAGCCCCTTGTCTAAAGAGACAACAGTCCTTTGTCTCCCATTAGGTGGAGGGTAACCCCACAGTTTATGTAAGGTATCTCTTCCTAGTAAGGGTGGAGGGCATTCAAGGAGGAACAGGAAGGAATGGATGCACCTGTGTTCATCCAGTTCCCATCCTAGTGGCAGTGGCTCTATAATTCCCCTTCTTAAGACTTCCCTGAACACCCCATAATTTTACAGTTCTTAGGACTGTTTGCTGGCTCTGGTGTTCAGAACCAAAAAAATGACATTGGTGTCAACTAAGAATTCGACAGTGTTTTTGCTCCATGTCAAAGGTCAGCCCGGGCTCCTTAAGAGGTCATTTGGAGTGCCAGCTCAGGGGCCTCCTGGCCCTGTCATTCTTCATCTCTTTGGATCATTTGCTGTCAAGGGTATAGTTGAGATCTGCCATTTCTACCCCTTTGGGGGGGATCATGAGGACATTTTCTCTTTCCTGTTTCCTCATATGTACTTATGGCACATTGATTAGGTCCCGGTTTCCTTGGCTTTCTATCCCTTATTGGGGGCTGAGGTCACTCACCAGAGTTAAAACATCTCCGGACAGTTAGTCCAGATTCCCATGCTCACCGGTTGACACTGGAGGAAAATAGCCAGTAGGTGGCCTTTCTTACAGGCCTTTTTATCGTTTGCCTCTTGAGAACCACTCACTGGTCTCCCCAGCCCACTTCAGAGAAACTCGTGCTGACCGGACAAGTCAGATCACTGGTAACATGCCTACCTTGGAACCCTTTCACACTCAGGTGTCCTTGATGCCTTTTCCTGAACTTGGATTGAGTGTCCTTATTCTCTTCTGTCATGCATACTCATCATCTGGACTTTTTCCTGGTTTCATCTCTTGACTCACAGGGCTGCCCTTGCTCTTTCACTAAACTGGAAGTAACGATGGAGAATGCTACTGTTGACCCCGGAGGTTGGCAAGGACAGCAAAAAGCTGGTGCAGCCACTACACCGTGTACAGAGGTCAAGAGGACAGCAGTACTGGCGAGACCACAGGCAGGACTGCTGGGGTTCCAACTTGTTCACAAGTCCCCACTGTCCCCAGGCGTCCAGCACCGTGGGGGCCAACCAGAGGCAGCAGACACACAAGAGTTTCAGTCTCCAATCCCCAATGATTCCACAGTGTGACCTCCTCAGAGGGGCACAGTCCAGATGACTATGGGGGTTATGCTGGGTGCACACCACACCTGGGTGTGAGGTTGCTGGGCAGAGTTGCTCTGAATTCAGCCAGAGGCCACCACCATTCTACCTGTCAGAGTGTACTCAGAGATTAGAGTCAGTCATCCTTGCAGGAGCCTCCCAAAGCCACTTATGCCAAGCCTGGAGCCTAGGCAACAGGTGCAGGCAAAAAGGCCATGACCTGTCCTATGTGGGTCTCCAGAGTTTGTTATTAACCCCTTTGCGTCAGTCCTCAGTAAGAGTCTTCCTGCCCTGTGTTGTTTGAGCCAATAAAATGAGACCAAGTTTGATTCAGAAGCAAAGGAAAGCTTTATTCTTTGATCAAAGAATGGAGAAGTGGGAGCACATGCTCTAGAGCAGCAGTCCCCAACCTTTTTGTCACCAGGAACTGGTTTCATGGACGACAATTTTTCCATGGACTGTATTGGGTAGGAGGGATGGTTGTGGGATGATTTGAGCACATTACATTTATTGAGTTCATTGAGCAAGAGACAGAGCTCAAGCAGTAATGCAAGCGACGGGGAGCAACTGTTAATACAGATGAAGCTTCGCTTGCTCACCTGCCATGCACGTCCTGCTGTGTAGCTCAGTTCCTAACAGGCCATGGACCAGTACCTGCCCATGGCCCTGGGGGATAGGGACCCCTGCTTTAGAGTATATGCTCTCCCCAAAAGGCTATAGGCAAGGCTGCTTTTTAAAGGTTCTTTTAAGTGAAGAGAAGATTGGGGTTTTGCAGGTTGGGCACAGCTGTGTTGCTCATGCTCCAGATCCAGGTGTCATGCACAGCATCTCTGCACAGGGCCCATTGTTGCCATCTTGAAGTGCCAGGTACAGCATTCTGCACACACTCTACCAAGTTGAGGTGTTGGGGCAGCCATTTTGTACTAGAAACTTTGGTTTGAAGTACTGGATGTGAGGCCCGTGGTTCCCTGTGAGCAAGTGAAACTAGATTAAGCACAAAGGAAAAGAAGGTTAGACTTTATTTTATTGCCCATATTCTATTTTTATTCCTCAAGAATTGTTAATGGCTTTGCCAGTGACAGTACCTTCATTTTTAGCCAGAAGAGTAGAGTGACAAGTTGTTGACAAAGATAATTACAGTAATCTTTCTTATCTCTGTATGCACATTCTTTTGCCATGGAGCTTGGCCACTCCTGTTTCCCAAGAAATTCATTTCCCCACTCTTGGAACTGGGCTGGCTTGTGACTCACTTTGGCCAATAGAATATGGAAAAGGGACTTGGTCTGGTGGTTAAGAATCCACTTTCTAATGCAGCAGATACGGGTTAGATCCCTGGTCAGGGAACTAGGATTCCATATGCTACAGGGCAACTAAGCCTGCAAGCTGCAACCACTGAGTTCACAGTTAAGAGCCCATGTATGGCAACTAAGACCCGACACCACAAATAAATATTTAAAAAAAAAAAAAGGAACATGGAGAAAGGACTTCCAAATCTCTTAAGTCTCAAGTTAGCAAAATCCCGAAATGAAGACTCCCTCCTGCACATGAGCGTTATGTCTGTCTCCCTCCCTTTCCTCTTTATCTCTCCCCACCCCCCTTTCAGACCCCACAGTCCTCCAGGTGAAGAAGCCTGAGCCAACAACCTCTATGTCAGTTGAGACCGGCCAACAGCCAGTACACATGAGGAAGACCAAGTGGAACTGGCAGATGATTACAGCCACGTGTATGACTCTGGAAGCAAGAGCAGGAATGTCAAGCTAAGTCATCCCAACCACCAGCCCAAGGACCAGTTGCTGTGTGAAAGTACTCATTTTTGAGAAGGTTTATCATGTGACAGTAGACCACTGATGCCTCAAGAAGTAGTGTCTCTCAGAAAGACTTTGAAACAGTGAACAGTATGTTCACCCTGCAAGCCCATAATATCTTTTAACACAGTGTGTGGACTCAGTTTCCTGAGAAAGTGCAGTTGGGCTTGTGTTGGATTTAGCGGTAGGTGTTGGATATTATAGCTGTTCAGATAGACCTTAACCCTGACCATACTACAAGCCTGGCTGGCCATAAGCGGTCCTACTTCCAGAAAGACAGCAGGCTGCTTAGTGTCTGTCTGAGTGGGGCCTTTTGAGAGATTCTCTGCACAAGGTATCACATGTCACTCATGGATGGTTTCCTTTGTTAAAAGGAAAAAAAATCTACTCTTCAGTCATCCTTTCTGGCACATGCTATAAAGAAAGCTGTGCACCAAAAAATCAGTGCTTTTGAACTGTGGTGTCAGAGAAGACTCTTGAGAGTCCCTGGGACAGCAAGAAGATCCAACTAGTCCATCCTAAAGGAAATCAGTCCTGAATATTTATTAAAAGGACTGATCCTGAAGCTGAAAGAGGAGAGTGAAAAAGTTGGCTTAAAGCTCAACATTCAGAAAACTAAGATCATGGTATCCAGTCCCATCACTTCATGGCAAATAGATGGGGAAACAGTAGAAGCAGTGGCTGACTATTTTTCTGGTCTCCAAAATAACTGATCAATTGACATGGGTTTGGGTTGACTCCAGGGGTTGGTGATGGACAGGGAGGCCTTGTGTGCTGCGGTTCATGAGGTTGCAAAGAATAGGACACAACTGAGCAACTGAACTGAAGCTGAAACTCCCAATACTTTGGCCAACTGATGCAAAGAGCTGACTGATTTGAAAAGACCCTGATGCTGGAAAAGACCCTGAAGGCAGGAGGAGAAGGGGATGACAGAGGATGAGATGGTTGGGTGGTGTCACTGACTCAATGGACATGAGTTGGAGTAAGCTCCAGGAGTTGGTGATAGACAGGGAAGCCTGGCATAGTGCAGTCCATTGGGTCACAAAGGCTCAGACACAACTGAGCAACTTGAACATTCTTCCCAGTTCAAGGAAGGGAAATGAGTCTGAGACTGCCCTGGTTAGCTTCACATGTCTCAAAGGAAAGGATACATTTGATCTCAATGAACCAGAACACTGGGTTTTTTAAGGTCAAGAAAATCAACTTAATGTGTTGCAATTGGCATTTTTAAGAAAGGTATTTGTATACTCATGTTCACTGCAGCGTTATTCACAACAGCCCAGACAGAGATGGAAGCAATTCAAGTGTTCATCGACAGATGAATGGATAAACAAAATGTATTTATACACACAATGGAATATTATTCAGCTTTGAAAAGGATGGAAATTCTGGCAAGGGCTACAACATGGATGAACTTTGAGGACGTTTGTGAAATAAGCCTTTCACCACAAAAAGCAAAATCCCCTTGTATGAGAAATCTATAGAGTACTCAGATTCATAGAGTAGAATGGTGGTTGCCAGGAGCTGGGGTTGAGGGGAAGAGGATTATTGTTTAATTGGGACAGAGTTTCAGTTTGAGATGATGAAAATGTTCCAGATGGTGGTGAAGATTCCACAACAATGTGAATGTACTTAATAGCACAGAACTGTATGCTTAAAACTGGTGAACTTTATGCCTTGTATATTTTACCTCAATAAAAAATCAGAATGAAATAGAATAAGATACAGGTTACTTGGATGGATTCACTGTGAAAAGTCAACAATTCAGAGTGTGTGTGTGTGTGTGTGTGTGTGTGTGTGTGCATGTGTATAACACATTTCTGATTGTGGTTTTTTAAAAATTGAGAAAACATAATGCTAGAGGCAAGTCTTCATTTCCCATTGTTGTGGTTCTTTACTTTTTGAATTTGATACACTTTTCCCAATGGAAAGGATTTAATTTTGACATTTAGTTATTTGAGCAGAAAAATCCTTTCCCTTGGGCCTTCTCTTCATCATAATCATTTTTCTCCATCTGACTGCTCATGGTAACTAGATTTCACATGCTAGATTAGCCAGGAAATTCATGTACAGACATTCTGTCATCTTGCTCTGTGGACTGTTCATGAAAGCATTGGCATACATTGTGCTGAGCGATTATGACGTGGGATTTATGCTTCAGTGCAGAAAAACTAGAATTTCCCTACATCTTAAGAGTGTAAATTTTAATTAAAAATTCCTTGGTGGTTATGGTCTCTGAACCTCTCTTACTTGTAGGCATCTTCTCAGTAACATCCAAAACAGTGGGTTTTTCATCACATGCATGAATGCTTCAGAGACAGTGAAGGACCCCAGTTCATTGCTAAGTAGCTTCAGTTGTAGAAAGAGTATACGAACCGCTACATCATGCACTCAAGGAGATAAGCCCTTGTCAAAAAGAAGGCATGATAGAGAAAGATTTGTAATCATGCAAATAGATTACATGAGTATTGTGTAATCATAATACAGAAAGAAAAAGAAACTCAGAGATAAAATATTGACTTTTAATGTATGAAGACACGTGGATTTTTCAGTGATTTCCTAAAATATACTTGAACTGGGATATAATGCACAGCACCCTAGACATTCCCATTGGCCAGTACTCCACTGGAGCTTTAGGTGTCTCCAAATTCAAAGAAATTAAAACACTTTTAAGGGTTATGTTAAATAAACCAGATAAAGACAAAGTATGTTATCACATATGTGGAATCTAAAATATACAGCAAATGAATATAACAAAACAAAAATAGACTCACAGAGAACAAATCAGAGGTTACCAGAGGGGAGAGGGAAGCAGTGAGGGGCAAGTTGCTGCTGCTGCTGCTAAGTCGCTTCAGTCGTGTCCGACTCTGTGTGACCCCATAGACGGCAGCCCATCAGGCTCCCCCGTCTCTGGGGTTCTCCAGGCAAGAACACTGGAGTGGGTTGCCATTTCCTTCTCCAGAGGGGCAAGTTAGGGGTAGGTAATTAAGAGGTGCAAGCTACTGTGTACAAAATAAATAAGCTACAAGGATATATTGTACCACACAGAGAATAGCCGATATATTATGATAGCTATAAATAGAGTATAACCTTTAATAATTGAATCATCTTTAAGAAAAACAGGATATTGATTTACACCAAGTGTTGGAGTATGATTTACAACATGCAGCTTTGGAAATGCATACTAAATCATATGCTAAATATATTCAAATTTATGGTTACCACTATAATATTTAAATATGATAAAAATAAGCTAACTCAAATTCTTTGTGGAATTAAGTGGGATTATTAAATTATAGATACATTTAAGTCCTGAAAGAATAAAACTTACCTGGAACCACACACACACACAGAAAATCTAATATACCTCATAACTCTTCTTAACAAACTAATTCATCTACTTTTTGCTGGGGAGAGGTCTGGGAAATACTGTTCCACCATTATTAGAAGTAGGACTAAGTATTTCAGAGTTCTATTTTTCCCATCTTTGTAACCTAACAGAGATAAACTCTGGAAGTCTGCCTTTAT